CACACACACACACACACACACACACACACACACACAGTCCTTTCAGAGTTAAAAATAAAAATGGAACGTTAGTGATGCATGCATATCAGCCGATAGGCAGTCCGCAGAACCAAGGAGTCACCAATATGAAGAAAGGACTCGAGATCACACAATTCAAGCAAGAACAAAGCAATGTAGGACAATTGCAAACTAATGTGACGCAGCGGAAGACTCAAAGACAATGATCTGACTCAATCAGACTCACGGCACACATACATCATCACACATATAGAGATGGAAGGGAGGAGTACAACCATGGACGACAGATCCCTCTTCGCTCATAGACATGGGGAGAAGTACCATAGATGATCGAGGCAAAGATGAGATGACAGTGGACGAGGAAGAAACGAAGAAGATACAAGAATAGATCGAAATAGATGCTGGTGAGAAGATCAAAACCTAGGCTCATTCCACCGCTGAGCCACCTTGTTCAAGGACACATCTTAGGCAAAATGCATCCTCTTCTCCGTCCACTAGCAGTTCCACTTCTACGTCTTCATCACGTTCTTTTGGGGATTCGACGCGCACATTCAACGTGAAGAAGTTGGACCCGTTGATGCCCAAGGATTTCGCTTGGGTTTGTCTCCCCATTCCGGGTTGCTTACCTGGAGCGCATTCTGCTGCACGTCTCCCACGTTTACGTGAGTTTCACACGCAATGGTACAGACAATACAATGCACCGCTCATGTATGTCCGCATCCAAATTGGGCACCGTCCTTTGCTGGATAGCAGAGTGACTTGCAACTTCATTAGCCAGTCGTTCGTCCAACATGCTGGCCTTGGCGCACAAGTGCAGAGGAAGCTACATCCCACGGAGGTCAAGCTTGTGGACTATAGTGTGCAACTTCTTCACGATATATCGAAGATGTGCCCGTGTAATTTGCACCTCACAAACAAGAAGTCGTTGACTTCATCATCTTGGAGACGAACTTTGACATGATGCTGGGGATGCCTTGCTGGTGCAGATCACACGGTGAAATTTCATCAGCAGATTCTCACTGTTCGCGACGCCTTCGGCTATACCTCCTCTGCGCACTTCAATCCGGTGCCAAGTTGTCCAAGTGGTTTCGACCAAGAGTTCTCGGGCCACTTGCGCTTTCGAGTGGAGCACGAAAATCGGCCTTTGCTTTCTTCAAGCTGTTGCGGCGACCCACTCTTCATCGACGGATGCTTGTTCGGATCCACACGTGCTTCGAGGCTCCTACGGGTGTGGTTCCATACCATCCTATATCTCACGAGATCATTCTTGAGAATGGCGCCATTCTACCTAAAAGACGTATTTACCATGGTTGCCCCGGACCCGGACATCCAGACACCGGACACCGGGCCCGGACCCGTGTCTGGATTAATCCGGACGTCCGGTAATCCGGACACAAATCCGGACAACCAGACATACGAAACTGGACGGTCCGGTTATGAATGAGCAGGTCCGGATGTCCGGATTGATTAAAAAAAAAAAAAAA